AAAGGTAAAACTCCATACAAGCATAGTTTGCCTGGCTTCCCAGCAGAGGGCATCTTCAACACATCACAAATTTCCATCCAACAAAGCAACAGAATAGTTGAGAACACACTAGTAAGGACCCTGAAGTTTTAAAGCAACTGTAAAAGCTTCTTGGGGCTTCGCAGGCGACACTGGAATAGCATCTATAGCACATATAGCAATAGCTCCACAGCGCTGTGTGTGACCGGAGGAGGTTTTGGGGGGCCTTTGCTCACAGGTCTGGAACAGGATCAAGTCACATTCCCCACTCAGACTTATAACACCTTCCTGCAACTTTTTGTTGTCTGTCTCTCTCCTGTGCACCACGTTCAGTCAGTGTCTTGTTAACACCTTCAGTGCGTTCCATGATGCTGCCGAGCCTGCAGCTCCAGCTGTTTCCCAATTCCTCTCCAGTTGCTTTTGCTGACCATCGTTTCTGGCTTCAAGACATTCTTTCCTTCCCACCTCAATGAGAATCTCTTAAACTTCCTCATACACCCCATACTTTTCCTAATTTCAGCTCATTAGACCATTGTCTGTTCCTATTCAAATGCATTTCTCAGGTGGTGCCGGCAGAGAACAGGATCACTCTAATTCTGTATGTCAGCACAGGAACTGCATTTAGACGCTGCCATTAGGAGGAAAGGAACTTCTCGATCATCCACACCCATGTATTTTTCAGAGCAATCCCCTTGTTTTTGAAAAAAAAAAATTGACTTAATCCTGTGATTTCCCACACCATACAGCACGACCTCAGCAGGACTGAGGCAGACAGACACACAGCTTGTAGGGTTAGGGAGCCTGCAGGGGTAAGCACAGCCCTTTCTTCATAAAGAGTTTAACGTATAAGGATATAATAAACTTACAGTTACGCACTTTGGGGTGTACGTTATGTGCAAGAAATGTCAGTGCAGCGTTAAGGATGCACTACAATTTCTGCTTTGTTTTGTATACAGAAAACAGAAATGCAGCAACATACACATTTTAAAGAAAAGTTATTTCTCCATATAATTTTTAAGCTTGTTTTCCTGCAGAATAAAGTTTAAAAGGGTTCAGATTTCTCCTGTATTTGGATCTATGTAGAGTAACCAGCAGATCCTAATTTCAATTACTAAGAAGACACGACAAGCAAAACATGCCAGCCTCAGCACCTCTGCTATCACAAACCCCTTCAGCAATGTGAAAGGATGGCACACTAGATGGTGCTGTGGCACCTTCCAGGGAACAGATCCTCCTTCTAAAACAAAAGTTGTTGTACTGTTAAATTAGCCAGACAGTTGATTCCGTATTTCGAAGCACGTTAAAGAATACTGATCCGCAAGGAGAGCAACCAGAACCCCAGAAATGGAAGGAATACACTAAGCAAACATTCTGCTTTGGCTGCCCCTGCTCTTTGGAACAGTTCAGTGCCTCTCCTTCCCAAAACAAGAGCAGTTTTTATGCTCTGCATCAGCCTTGCTTCAAAGGATTCTACACGTAGAACAGAACTGAACCAGTGATGTCCAGACTCAGAGATCCAAGACACAGCACGGTCCCTAACAAGCCTTTTCTGTCCTTCCTTTGACCCAATCACCCTCTAGCACTCAATGTTTTATTCTGTTGAGTGGTTAAAAAAATATTTTAACACAGTAAGTTTTGAATTAACTAAACTGTGAATTAACTTTTCCTGCTGTGATAATCAGCTGCATGAAACAAAACAGAAGCATAAGGGGAAAATGACAGAAACCTGAGAGAAAAGCTATGGCAAATATTACAGAAACAAGCAGTTAGAGTTACCGAAATTGATTCTACTTATTTCTTTCTACAGCCTTCCTTGCAACTGAAAAGTATTTAAGTAGAACAGCTTCTGTATAAACACACCACCAATATATGTACTAAAGAGCATTTCATTTAAAGCCAAGGAACCTCAAACAGTGCAAGTATAAAGCACTGTACAACCCCTCTTTGATACAGGGAAGAAAATAAAAACTTTATATCATGGGCAGGAGTGTTGTGCCAATAAAAACATATGAGTATTAATTACAAATCCATAGTAATACAACGCTTTCTTAGCATTGTAAAGGTCTCTTGGTGACCTGCTATTCAGAAATGCCATGTAAAACACATCACTGATGCGCTGTCGTAATGCTCACACTCACCCAAACTGCGGGTTTGGTATGTGGTATCCACGAAACAAGGGATCATCCCCCCAAAATCAAACCAACACCACAGTTTGCCTGTTATTGTCGTTAGAGATAAACTGAACAGCTTACACTGGTTTTGTCAGGAAAACCACCCATCAGCCAAGGTGCCCACTGCACTCCATAAAGGTGCGAAATGCCCTCCAAATCCCCGGGGGGAAATGATGCTCAGGACCCTTCAGGATCATTCCAAGTCTGCTGGAAAGTTAAGCTAATGATAATTAGAGTGAGCTCACTCATATTTTTTTCCTCTAGTCTAAGTGCCCTGAATTGTTTCATTAAAACGCATCACAAAGCCCATTCAATATGTTTCTACAGATATTCCCAGATATCATTTCCTTTCAGAACAGAGTATTTCAAAGGCCAAACCCAGCCCAAACGCGCACACACGTGTGCGTGTGCACACGTATACCCAGCCCCCCCAAACCCAGCCCCCAGTATGGTAATCTATATTGCTTGTGTTCTGCGCTGCCTGCCTGGCCCCAAGTCATCAATAATGAATAGAAATGTACAGCTACAGCAGTAGCCTGTGTCATGGGCTTGTCAGGGATTTTTGAAAAGGAACAAAAACACAGGTTTGCCATTTGATTGTGTCTTCTTTTGCAAATACGGGACAGACTTTAAAAAAAAGAGGTATTTAAAAAGGAGTAAAATGATTAACCCTTTTTGTACTAATTGAGTTTCTTCCACCATACAAAACAGAAAATTATTTGCTTGTAATGTGACCAGTGTTCTCCTAGGCCTGGGAATTCAACAATAACGTCGGTTTTGAGCACAGGGAGGGGAGGCTGGTTCTATTTAAAGATAATTAATACATACTCAAGAGGAGTCAAATATCATGGTTTAAATAAAGGGAGGAAAAGAATGTTTTTGTTTTCCTTGGAACCCAGCAAGTTCAGTCTCAGATAAAATTGTTCTCGAAGAAGAAACTTAATGCATGCAAATACATAAACACACAGCCAACGAAGGCAACAGCAGTACTGAAAAATACAGAGATCCTAATAAACGAGTTAGATAATGTCTACAAAAGAGATAGATCTTGTATCTCTTATTTCTTTTCAGTGTTCCCAAACACATTTCTACAGACATTAGGACTGTAGTCTTACAGGAGTGATTATCTCACATTTTACAAACAGAACACACCAGCTGGTACACTACCCATCCACCCCCCGGGGAGGGCGGGGGGCAGACTACTAAATGTCTACAGGACACGCACAAACTAAACTGATTGAAAACCCAGCTGTAAACCTGAACTTTTCTTGCTTTCTGCATCTGCGTAAATTCCAGAATAAGTCCTCCATTAGTAAAAGTCATTAATAAAAGCATTAACTTCCATAGTAACTTCTACAGTAGATGAGTAAATACTCTCCACTTTGGCAGATATAACAGAAGATGCAGCCTTGTGTTCAAAAAGCCTGGAACTAGATACTTTGGATAAGAAAGGAAACTTTATAAGCATGTATGTTCAACTGGGCATCAAAAGCAAGACTTCTCAATTCAAATTATGTTGCCAGGCCATGTTTTTTAGCAGCCAGTAGCAAATGAAAGCATATGGTTTAAACACAACTGAGGAAAATCTTCACACAGCAGCAATCAATAACACTATTTAAACAGCCTACCCTGTGTTCTGACCTAATGTTATCTTGTGATAACTGTTTTCAATGGTTAGAATGGGATATTAGAGTATTCAGCTGAACTGAACCGGGCATAAATCGCTGCATGTTCATGGGTTGAGTATGCAATTAATGACTATGAATAAGAAAAAAGGACCATTAACCACCTTTCTGTGGTAGAGAATAACTGCCTCAAAAATTACAAGTATACACTATAGCACACTAAGGTTAAAAAATTCCAAACCACAGAAATCATAGAATAGAATCATGGAATCATTTAGGTTGAAAAGACCTTTACACTCTTCAACACCAACCATAAACCTAACAGTGCTAAGTCCACCACTAAACCATGTCCATAAACACCACATCTACATGTCTTTTACATCCCTCCAGGGATAGTGACTCAACCAATTCCCTGGGCAGCCTGTTCCAGTGCTTTCAGTGAAGAAATTTTGTCTAATATCCCATCTAAACCTCCCCTGGCACAACTTGAGGCCATCTCCTCTTGTCCTATAGCTTGTTATTTGGGAAAAGAGACCAACACCCACCTCGCTACAGCCTCCTTGTAGAGGGCAACAAGGTCTCCCCTGAGACTCCTTTTCTCCAGACTAACCATAAAGAAATGTGATTCTGTTTAAATTAGCTGATTAAATTAAGATTATTTCCTTACAGAAGACACTTCATTCTGTTTAAAGAGTTACCAAATTATTTTATAGCAGAAAAGCTGTTTCTCAGTTCCAACTCCAAACACACCCAGTATGACTAGACTGATCATTATTCACTTCAGCAATTCTGTACAAGCAGTAAAAAGTGCCTTTTCGCCTACTGTTTTTGCAGTTTTGCAAGTGCTCAGCCACCCCTCTTCTAGCCTACTGTCCAAACACAGGGTTGAGAGCATAAAACTTCTGCATTGTTTTGGATATCCCTGCAGAGCAGATAATCTGCTTGATGCATATTTTAACATGCTCAATATGCATGTGTGGAACAAGAAAACACAGGTTTTTGTTCATATGTAGTTGAATGGGCCAAAACCCTGTTCTTGTTATCAATGCTATATGAGTCTCGGAATATCTTGTATTTATTTTTTTTTTAAACCATCTGCTTCAAAGATGTTCATTTTTTAAATGTTACTCACGAAATATGGATGCAGATCTCACATTCAAGACAAAAGAATGATGCCTTTGCTCACTTGCCTGCTATCGCTGAAGTCACAGATGACCCACTGGGCCAAGGTACTGCTCATAGCAGCCTGTCCCCCAGCACAGCAGCCGAAATCGCTCATTCCACCTGCTGAAGAATCTGACAACCGCTTTGAAGCACACAGGAAACCAGTTGAATCTACAGTGCTGTCACATCAAAAGAGCTCTGTCTATACTCGTTTTGAGCTGGCAGGTCCAAGGAAAACCCACCTCCCTGAAACTCACCTCCGCAAGTCCATACCGCCTGGCTCCCATCTGCTGGCTGCCCTTGCAAGGAGACAGGAGTGCCGCCCAGGAAGGCTCCCAAGCTGCCCAGCGTTGTCCCCATCATCCGAGCACAGCGAGAGGCAGGGTACTGCCATGGGGCTGAGCACGGCAACAAGCACCGAAACCCATGTCCACTGCAGTGAGCTTTTTGTGGCATGTCCTCTGACAAAGCTGGCACGTCAGGGTTTACCTGGGAATGTAACATCAGCGTACTCCCAGTGTACTGGAGCAGGTAAGTTGGAGAAAGTTAAAGACCCAGGCAGAGGCAGCCTAAAGAACTGGTTAAAAAAAAAAAAAAAAAAGAGAGAGAAAAAAAAAAAAAAAAAGGGGGGGGGGCAGGGGGGTGGCAAACAAAACTTGGCTTTGTACTTCAATTTCCTGTCTGGGTGATGCTGCTCAAACTTGCCGTCAGAAGGAGCCTGCTTTTCCCCTGTCTGATATGAATACTGGTTTTGCATTTCAATCATCTGCCCTGAAATGTGGATCTTTGATTCAGTAACATAACAGAATATTTCCAGAGGGGGAAAATTGTTTCTGAAAACAAAACAGTCCTAGTCTAACAGAGATTGCCTAGGCAGGGAAGGGAGCTGGCATGCAAGACTGGAACCAAATGAAGAGAAAATATTTCCCTCGCAGACCCCACAAGAAAGGCTTTTTTTGATTTGAGCTCCAAGAGCGCAAATGGCAAGACAGTATTAACTTGGAAGGTGTTTCCTATTCTACAGGAGGTAAAACAAGGGAACAACTAAAAGATGTTATCCAAGATTTCCACTGTCCCCTTTTCAGAGCCAGGGTCTTCACTCTGCTGTGTCCTCCGGGACACCCCAGCCCCTGGTAGCTCCCTTCTGACTCCTCCTCAGGCTTTGCCCCAGCTCTTCCCAAAGAACCACAGCAAGGCTGGAAGTTCGCAGTACAGGATTAGACCATTTCTGTACTTGCATTTCCAAAGGCCCCAGTCCTCTGTATCCAGAATAAATTCCCATTCTACAAGCAGAATACACTCGTTTTAAAAGCGAAATCCCCTGTAATTGCTCAGTTAAATGACAGGCCACACACATTCCCAGAACCTCATCAGCTGAAGGTACAACACACATCCCTTAGACTCCTTATTTTTACTGAGGATTTCTAGCATTTTCTAATCAAGAGATTTGCTTGTGTCTATTTTGTGTAACACTTTCCAAAACTGTTTCATCTGGTGGGTGGCAGATAGGACTTCTCCACAGAAAGCTGCAGAGTAAGTAAATCACCTACTATCTCTACCCTGAAGATGGGAATTGTGGAGAGAGCAGCAATCATCATCACGCCATCATTCCTCTCATTTCTGAGACAAAGGACATCAGCCTAGCTCGTACACAGAGCAGAAATAACCTTCCTATGGGCTAAAAGTAACAGCCTGGGATGGCCACTCCCAATACTGGTGCTGTAAATGAGCTGCAAGCTATCAAAAGACTTAAAAAGTTTTTTTAAGCACACTGTTTTACTGAGAAGGTACATGAACTAAAGAGTTCCACCATCAGTTTGCCAGACACCTACTAGAGCTTTCCAGGAAAAAAAAAAAATAAAAAAAAATACAAAACTGCCAGGTTATTTTTGATATATCTTACGTAAGAGTTCTTTAAATGTAAATATATTTAAATTAGCATTTCTGGCTTGCCTACAATCAAAAGCTTCTAACATCACAAATGATGACAACTAGGTGGCCTAGCAACCCAGACAGACAGACAGAGGAAGTTCAGTCAGTCAGCAATAAAAAGCTTTGTCTGACTGGCTTCAGGGAGAAGAAAATTGCTTGGATGATCACTTCGGTACTCTACTAGGTGATGCACTATTTTATTCTTTCTGATAGCTGCAGTTTAAAAGAACTCAAAACCAGGGAAACGTACATGTAAAGGCTGAGCAAAGATGTGGACTGAAGCTTTATTTTGTTTGGTTTCAGATTCACACTTTTGATAGAGCCTAGGGAGCCAGAGCGAGAAGAAAGGAACCTGTCCCTGAGCGCCTGACAGTATCAACAGCGAGAACAGCGGCTGGAGTCGCAAGCTACCTGCAGTGGGTCTAGGAGCAAGGGGCTTTGCTGGGGGGGAGCAGCCTTTGCAACGCTAGCAGGTGTCACTGCAGCGCACCTGCCAGCAAAACAAAACATATTTATCAACTCGTGGTCACATTTACATTTCTTATCACAATTCATCACAACACAAGAAAATGCACTGTCAGCCTACTCGCAGCATCTTTGTGGTAATTTGACGTTGCTGCTCATTACGGACCCCAGCCTGAAGGTGCTGAGCATTTACAGCTCCTCCTGGAAAAAACAAGGCATTCTGCACCCCGCAGAAATGTTTGTTTATAAAAAGAGGTGGTGTCAGGGCTGGAATGTTTGTCCATCCTTCTTCACTCTAGTTATATCCAGGCAGTTGCAGCACTAAAATCTATGCTGTTGAGAAGCTTTAAATTCTTCTGTCAACGTGACTGGCTTTTCTCTTCCCCAGTCTTCTTCAGGCTCTTTCCTTTCTCTCCCTCTCTTCTTTCTTTTCACCCCCTCCTTAAAATCTTTTCCAAAAAGACTAGAAGTATAATCTTCCAAAGAGCTGACTTCCAAGTGTACCTAACATTTAAGCCTCCATCCAGCGGGACACTGAGGCTCTCTGCATATTTTGTCATACATATGTTTCTGAAGAACTCCTACGTAATGATGAGACCAAGAAACACCTTCTAACTTCATTACTAGTATCAACATTGAAAAAACTCCAAACATCAGCTTGTCTTCAGTCCCTCACAACTACTGACTACTCACTGAGACCCTGAGCTGTGATGACAGTTGGCAAATAAATCTGATTTGGTCATTTACCCAGCAAGCACAGAGCATCAGGATGAACATTTCCAGATTTGACAAGTAATTGCTGTATTAAATACTGCACATGTACATTTCTCAGAAGCTGATGGCCCATTTGTAGAATACTTATTACTAGCAGCAATAACCATTCTGGATAAGTGACTATTCTCTTCCAAGGATAATAGCATCTGCTTACATAAAGGGATATTTTTGGCACATTCTCAAGGTCTTCTTCCTTCTGCCCTGCTGTCAGAACACTAATCAGGTATGCATAGCACCTACATCACCTCCCGCATACTCCAGGTAATTAGCCTTTCCACTAATCAGAGAGCATCTCTCATCCCTGCAAACCTACAGTATGCTGCTTGTTCCTTAACCCTCGGGTTTCCTTTGCTCATTTCTTAAAAGAATTGACTGCACGCTGGTTGCCTTGAACAACTCTTTCAATGCACACCGTTTAGAGCTTTCCAAATAAAATCATTTTTGAGCATTTTGCTGGAAGCTGAATTTAAAGACATGAATTATCGATTTTCAGCTAAAGTGTATCCCTGATCCTTCCCTTCTAATAGTTAAGACAATAAAAGCTCACAATGTGTTTCCCTGTGACCATCTTCACAAGCCTCTCTGCTTGAGAAATTGATCACTTTAGATAAAAACTAATTTACGCCTGTGATTTATTAAGACAAGAAACTCATATTTAAAGGGAAAAAGGCTGCAGTGAGTGTCTATGCTCTGACAAATGGCAAAAAATACAGCTGATTTAACAAATGAGTGCTCAATCAATGATGCACTGAGGCACATGACAAAGGGAAGTCAAAATCCATTACATTCAAGAACCTCCTTTAAATTCCACTTCAGTGCACTGACCCTGTTGCTCAATGCTAAAGACTTTACAAGGTTTTCGGAAACATTTAGAAGAGCTTTTGTTTTGGCATTCACTCAGCTGCACCTCACAATTAACACTGCCAGACTCCTTTCTAATCAATTATTCATTAAGATTACTAGCATATCTTTTGAGCGCCTTAACTTCACATCAGAAGTGTGCGAGGGATGACACATGCATGTGTACTTTACAGAATAAAAGGCAGACTCTAAGCAGGTTTTAACGCTAAATGAGAACAAGGCTAAAAGAAGCGAAATCAACACTTTTAGTCAAAGTTGAGCTTCAGGCGAGCTGCAGGCAGTGCACAGCATGAGAGAATTTGGCTCCAGAAAGTGCCCATGTGTTGACAGCTGAATAAGAGTTTGAAGGCTTAATGGCAAGAAATGTTCCGTCAATGATAATGTTACACATTACTTACTCAGTTAACTACTCATCTTCTGCAGCCCTGACAGCTAATGACGCAAACCCCATTCAACAGAAGTTTTACCATTCGCTATAAAAACATGTTTATTTTGGTTACCATAGCTAGTATTTTTTCAGCCAAATAAAAAGAGGGAAATAATTTTCAGGAACCAACTATGAAACACAACTGTGCTGAGACATTAAGAATGCAGAAAAATCTGAAAAGCTGCTCAAACTATAGAAAAAATATAAATTAATTTGAGCCTACTTCCACGAATCTAATAATATATGTGCAAGATAATAAAATAAATTACTGTACTATCCCGGTTTGTTCAAATCATTCACAGGTAGCAATTAACAGCAGTATTACTCTTGCACAAGTTATCTCTGCTTTTTAAAGAGAAAAAAATCATTTAAATTTATATGTACACTCCATGTGCCTTCATGAATCTCCACAGTAATACACGACAGACTGTACAGTATTACAACCAAATGCATGGTATCTCAAAGAAAAAAAAAAAAAAAGAGACCAAGACAGAAGCAATCCTCATAAAAACATTATCAATATTCTGCTTAGCATCAGAGGCCTGAACACAGACCAGAGCTCCGCATTGTCAAGCAACCAGCCCCCAGCCCCCTTGGACTGCTGGGTGTCATTTATTTCTGCTGTAACACAGAGGTCTATTGCAATGAGCAGTTTTACAAATGTTCATTGTCGAGCTCACCATCATCTGTAAAACAGATCAAATGGCACCCCTGAACATCCCCCCACTCTGTTTATAACTGTGTAACTCTGTCCTCAGGGTGTGTATGAACAATGTTTAAAAGCAAGCAATATGCACAGCTGATCAGACCAGCAGCTGATCAGTATTTAATCACCAAATCCAATAAGGAAACAAATGAGGCAGAGCACAGGGGTGGAAAACAAAGGTAGATGGAAAATGTT